AATCTGCTGCCTCACGCGGCCATTGCCAAGCCACGCCCCCCGAAGATATATTTCTTACCCTTTTAGGTGTTTTTTAAGCCTTTGTGCAGATTCCAGGCTAATCTGAGCAGTTAGGAAAATGAAACTCTAGCGTCATACTGAAGGACAGACTGAGCTTCCTCTCATTAACACACAATGCCCTGAAGGATTTAACCCTTTGTTAGCACAGACAATGTTCAAATCTAGTTTACAGTTGATAATATCTGCCAGCACAGTAAAGACAGAGATAATTAACATAAACATTAGTCTGCTCTCCAGCCCCTTTCTTAACATTACATAGGGGATGGGGGCTAGGTAGAATTCTTAAGCAAGTATAAAGCACTTAAAAAGGTAAGGAGCAATTTTTATTTTGAAATGTGTTATGCAGTGTGAATAGGAATATATAACAAATATAAAACACTATAGTTATTTCTGGATTAAAAACGGAAGCCCAGAGCAGGTAGGCTGTTGTTCCTGTATGCATGTTAAGGCTTCTTATTGAATTTTGTTTATTTATTGTTAAAGAAACATTTTTTATTAACTGCTACCCCTGCACTGCAAGGGTTAACTGCTCATTTATGTCTAGGTGCTAACAAAATAAAAAGTTATACCCCCCCAGGTATACCTTGGAAAAGGGGAATGGGGGGGGGGGGGCAGGGAAGTTCTTCAAGACTGACTGTGCATAGGACTATATTCTTAAAAAAAATCTAGGGCACTAAATACTATGAAGTTAAAACATTTTAATGATTGTGCACAATAGTGAGACTTGCTTTTCAAAACCGGGAAGGAACACGAGGATCTCTGATATTTACTTCCACATAGTAAATCTGAGTTACAATGTAATAAGGAAAGGAAGGATGTGTTTAGTTTACCATAGTATCAGATCACTAATGCACTATCTTTCTGATTTTTGTTTTCTGAATTTAAGCCAACGTTGGACAAGAGAATTATGTAAGCTACCATTGCTAACCTCCTTCCAAAAATATTAGGCGCCAGGTAGCTTTTGTTTTTAATACGAGTAAAGTCACATGACCTGCATACTTGTTCTGCATTAGTTACTCAAACTATTGAAGCCAGGCAACTAGCATTTTTAGATGATGTCAGCAGTGAACTTCTCTGTACTTCTCGCAGTACAGGTTTCCTATAAGCTACACAATGACAGGTAGAGGTGTAGTCGCTGCTGTTGGCTGTATCTCATTGTTAGGGGTCGCCAGGGAATATTCCTTGCTTATGGAAGGGCAGACACTAAAGAAAGTTGGACTATACACTCTGCTGTAGTGTCTCTATATATGTTCAAGTAATAGAAGCATCCAATTTCTTTTACAGGTGAAAGGGAAGGATGGAGTTGGTGCTGTTATGGATTCTATGGAGCTGGAACGCCAGAGAGGTATCACTATTCAGTCTGCTGCCACCTATACCATGTGGAAAAACATGAACATCAACATAATTGACACCCCAGGTATGTTATGTGACCAAGACGTTTCCAATATTCAGTATAAAGTATTTTACAGTTTTTTATAGCATGAATGGAAATGCATAATTTTTTTTTTCTTGGGGCTGTCGCCTTCTATTGTTGATTATAGCTGCTAGTTTAACCCTTTCGCTGCCAAGCCCTCGAACATTTTTCAAATCAGCTGGCCAAGCCATTTTTGAATTTTCTGCAATTTTTTCCTATTGGTTTGATTTTCAACTGCTGCGTTGCTAGCGTTTGTAATAGACCCCCCAAACCATATATTTTCTGAAAGCGCAGGCCCGGTAGAATAAAAAGATGGTGATACTAAATTTGTAGGCCCTGCGATAATTGCGCGAATGTTTCTCAAATTAATATTAAACCGATAAAAATACACAATTCAATTGTTAAAACACACCAAAATCAGTATCCGTGCACAAAATAAATTATTTTCTGACTAAATCTAAAAGATAAAACTGTATTGAGTTAATAAATAACAAATATTAGCAAATTTGTAATTGCGCCTTTTTGCGAAAAGGTAAAAAAATGAAGGTATGCAAAACTGTAAATCGACTTATGTAAAAAATTGTTTTGGTGTTTGTGTTGTGATTAAATGATACAGGTGTATATTTAATTGCAACACAAGGTATCA